TCCTCGGGCCAATGGCCAGGCGGGACAGAGGGAATATCAGGATCCAAGAGGAAGTGACGGGTCAGGTTACACACTCCTCCCTCTTTTCCTCAGGCAGAGAGAGAGAGAGAGAGAGAGAGAGAGAGATCAAGGGAGAAAGAAGGGGGCAAGCGGGGTAGAAGTAAATGGGCCAAGCAGCAGTCTCATTCTTGATGTGTGAGATCACGGAGCGGCAGAATGTGTCGGGATCCGCTTGACTACTGAAAACAAGACCGAACAGGACAAAAAAGAGAACACGGCGAAGACAAGGAGGAGGAACAGAAGGACATAGGAGGGAAGGAGGGTGGAGGAGGAGATTGAAACCAGTTTGGGAATTTGGGGGATCTTGTGGGATCTACTCTTCCTACAGGATCTAGTTGGCAAAGTGTCTGACAGGGGCCGAGCTAAAGCCCTGCCCCAGAGTTACCACAGCCGCCTCACTGCAGCAGGAACAAAATGAACTATCTGGTGAGTGTGTGTGTGTGTGTGTGTTTGCGTGCATGCAGAAATCACAGCCTCTATGGCATGCTGACTTTGAAAAGAATTCTGTGCTTCTTTTGTTGTTTGTCTGCTCCTTCATCTCCCATGGTTCAGTGTGTGAGTGTTTTAGCAGGACCTGCTATGTCCCAGCTGTGCATTGACTGAGCCAGTCGGAGGGTAGGGGGTGGTAGATTGGAGGGGGTGTTGCGTATGAAGAAAAGGAAATGTGAAGGGGGAGGAGAGAGGAGCCGGAGTTAACATTTTTTCTTTGAATTCCTACCTTTTGTTGGCTCTCAGCAGGGTGTATGCATGTGTGTACACAGGTTAAGGAAACTTTGCCGTCCTGTAATGGAATGTGCAGGGACAAGGAAAGGTCAGAGTCGCTAAAAAAAAACTCCCATTTTGCGTAAAGTTAAACACACTAAAAAAACCAAGACTTTCCAGCCAGGGCACTGAAAAACAAAGAGCAAAAATATGATGTTTGCAGGCTGTATTTTTAAATATGTTTCTAAGAATGTAGTGAAATGCACTTAATGCCTGTAATCCTCTTAAGAGCAGCTTTCCTTACCGAATCCTAAAGATTTGAAGAAAGTAACTCACACTTTCTTCAAAGTTTCGACCTTAAATGCATCGCTGCAAAGAATCAGAAGCAGAAAGAAGTTGTCCTCGCCACATTTCGATACTTGTTTTTCTCTTTTCTGCTTGTTGCTCTTCACTGTTTAAACTTGAGCCTCTGGTCAGAAAGAACGAAAGAAAGACGTGGTTGGTCCGTCTTTCTGCTGACTCAGAGGAAAGTCTAAAGAAATTAAGGTTTTATGGCCCTAGGGCAGAGAGAAAGAGGTGATCACTTGGCAGAAAGACAAAAAAAAATCCTGTAGATAAATGAACGGAGAAAGATGACCAGAAAGAGAAGCGGGATGATTTGGTTTGGCAGTTATTGAATCTGACTGATTTACTGTAGAGAGAAAGAACTGGTTGACTGGAGGAAGAAAATAATGGTTTGGTGAGGAGGGCGAGAAAAGCACCGAGACAGAATGGAACAAAGAGAAAAGGAAAGACAGAAGGAAAAAGAAACAGGCAGTAACAGTCCTTCCCTGCTATTGTTTGAGAGGCTTGTGCATCAGTGTTGGCTCACAGTGTTTGGGATAACTACACAGTCAGGAATGTGGCAGACTGTGAAATATTGCAGAGCGGATCGCTGTGTGTGTAACAAGTAATTACACGGCAGTAATTAGTGTGTCATTTTTATAAAATAACATTCCAGTGTTGTGGAACTCAGACGCAGCTCTATCAAAGCATCCCCCAGTGACTGAACTAAGCTGCTGTGTTGTGTCTGCTGCTTCTCAGTGTTCATTCACATACAATATCTTTTTTTTTTTCAATTTTAGTGGAAAATAAGGTCTTATGGAGACAAATTGCGCTTTGATCTGTGGATTCAGAAAATACTCTTTCAAATTAGAAGATTTAGCTTTGGATGTATTTATCACATAAAATGATTCCTGCCACAAGCTTTCCATTACTGTGGGATTTCATGGTGTAGTATTGAGCTATTTTCAGACACGGGATAGACAACAGTGCTGGTTGTATCAGTCTGATAAAGTGACAACATTCTGCCATTCAGACATACGTCACTTTTATGTGATGTGTTCCTCACAGCTTCATTCAGACACCACAGTGACACAAGGAGCCACAATACACATGCAATATTTGTCATACATGTAAGGTCGGTCTGTACATCAATTGATGTGTAATATGTAATGAGACACTAATAAACAAAAGACAAAATCTAAACTAACAGCAGCTTGTAAAACTGTCCAAAAAACTTATCGCATAGTTTTGTTTTGTTTTTTTAACAATGAAAGTTCTGTGTGATGATAATCTACCTCCCACTTTGTCAACAGTAAACTAAAATTACATGCAATAAGGCTTGCAAGTCTCATGCTTTGTGGCCACTCATATATTATCCTCCTCACACGTTTTACAGAAATGGTAGCAGGACACCCATTCAGACATAAAGCTGACATGTTCAGCCTCTGTCAGATTGAGGAGTACATGTCTGAAAGAGGTGTTAGTAGACAACAACCCACACACACACACACACCTACCTATCTCAGAAGTGAGGACATATAACAGGGCCAGGAAGCACAACTGGCTTTAAATAGATGAAGAGGATTCCCTCCATACCACTGACCACTCTATATGAGTGTGTAAGTGCATCTGTGTCTGTGTGTGTGTGCACATGTGTGTGTACTAAAGTGAGAGAATGTCAGGTACTGTCATTCATCCAAAGAATCACGTTTCCCTGACTCTAAAAACCCACTAAAAACACACTGCTTGTCTTTCCTGTTGACCCAACGTTTGACTAAATGTTGAGAAAGCAACAAGTTAGTCCAAATGTTGACAACACGATGAGACAGATATGACCAGGTCGTTGTTGAAAATGAGAACCAGTTCTCAATTAACTTACCTGGTCAAATAAAGGTTAAAAAGAAAGGGGAAAAAATGTTACAACTGCATTCAATTTCTAAATGTACAAACCAATGTTACAAGGATACTTTGATTCCAATCAAAGCGAACAATACAAACAGACCGATTCTCCGGCTTCCAAAAAGTTAAAGCAAATGATGTCTGTCATCAAGCTGAGACTTCTGTGTTTTTGGACAGTGAGGTAATGCTCATGATTAACTTTTTTAAAACCGTTAATGGGGACTACTATGCATCAGAATTGTGATAACATTAAAAGGAAAAAGCAGAGGAAAGCTTGGAGCTGTTTGCTGTTGCTCAGGACAGTGCATCTGTCCTCACAGCACAGGAGGCAGAAGCAGCCAAGTGTGACTTTAAACTGTTGCCTGTTGCTCCTTACTCACTGGACCTGCGTAGTCTGACTTCTATAAGTTTCCCAAACTGCAAAATCCTACCTGCATGGTCATCATTGGTGATGATTAAATCACCCATGCTTTTGAGGAGCATCCGAAGGATCAAAATGCGACCTTCTTCTGTGAACTTGAAACTTGAACAGCAGTGGACTAAGTGCATTAAAGTTAAAGGAGACTATGCTGAAAAATAACACAAGAACAATCTTTATCTTGTGATGTTTTCTGGTGAGGCCAAGGACTTTTTGAAGTACCCTTATCCCTTGCTGTCTTTTTCCTCTTTTTTCATTTTAAGCCTTGGAATAACCTGGAAACAGGTTTTTGTTATGCACTGAAATAAGAATATAAAGATGTCAATGCAATGCACTGGCAGTGGAACAAGGATTGTCAGGGATCCTCTTTGTGTGAGCACACATTTTTTTCTCCATGAATTTTGTCCTGAGTCATAGATTAGTCATGAATGCCCTGTTTGCAGCTGGAATTTCCCTCCGTATCCTACATGACACACACATCACACACATCACACACATCACACACACACATGCACTCACATACGCACGTGCGCGCGCACACACACACACACACACTCTATTTCTTGAAAAGGCACAACAGTAAGGCATATAGCCTATAAAGCCAAACCAATTATCAAACAGTTGAGCAGCCCTTTTTCCCAAAATCACCTCGTCTAAGACCAGATGATAGACAGTCAGCCAATCAGATGGATTTATTATAGAGTACAGTAGAGTTGATGCTTATGTATTAGACAGGATGTCTTCTCAGTTTCAATACGTAGAAGGGGTGCGCTCTGAAGTGTCAGCTGACTCGTACTGGGTCTCAAGCCACGTTACATTGCAATTCAATGAGTTCCAGCTGCAAGAGCTGAGATGCTGTGTCAGCATCAATGGCAAATGGATTTGCAAACAGATCGAGGTTGAATTTCAGAATCAGCAAATCTCTTCCAATTCAACATTGAGTGTGTTCAGTTAATCAGGCTAGAGGAAGGAGAGACAAGCTACCTTGGCACATCTTGCCCTCCCATAGATGCAGTTTTATTTGAAACATCTTAACTAAGCCGTATTTCAGTGATCAGCTGCTTTCAGCCCTGGAGCTCTACATGCAGAGCATTGAGGTGCTCCAGTGCATCATACATAAACGGCAAGTCACTTTTTGTCCTCTCTGGGATGATCTGTCATTTACATGAAATGACCATTCTCAACATGGGACATGCAAATACAAAAGAAATTCCTTGGCTTAAAATTTTAGCTGGAACTGTAAGCCAAAGGCCAGCTCATCAAACCGACTACCCATGGGATGCTGGGTAAGGCTGATATTCGCAGATGCCTCTTTCTTTTTGGCACATACACATACAACATCATGCCATTTCCCTTTTAGGAAAGGTTTGCATGTGCAATTACAAAGCTTGCCCATAGTTCATTTCAAAATGCCTCTGCCTCAAAATGCTATTGTTCATGATCAAGGAGGAAATTAGTGTCACAACAACAAGGTCAAACAACCCCCAATTCACACACAACCCCCCAGAAACCTAAGGACAACAATGGATCATGACATTTCCTGACAATACATCCCAGTACAGAAGCACAAGAAGTGTTTTGTGACCTATACATGTCAGCAAATGAGGCTCAGGAGACAGAACCACCCTTCACCCAAATACCAAATGGTTCTGGGATGTTGCACAGAGCATCTAAAAACTTTCTGAGATTTTGAAGATGGATTGTTTTTGGTGTCAGGAGCGTCAATGATCACACTGAGCAACTTTTTATGATGATAAATGAGTCCCTGTGTTCAGTTGGAGGATTCAAAGGTTTGGTCAACCAGTGCCTGCTGTCTGTGCCTTGGTCCAAAAATGTATTTTATTGTTTGAGTCATTCTTATCAAGGTACTAGTATTGTGTGTGGTATAGTGGAGCACATTAGGTTGGGGCAGGTAATCACACAGGTGAGAAAGCAGATAAAGACCGGGGAGTGTAAAGACACCTGCAGTAAGACAGGAGTGAGTACAAACACTTTACAGGAAATATTGAAATAAAACAGGAGAGGAGGTAAGGCAGAGATTATCAGCCAATGGCAGGTTTATGCCCGGAACATACACCTGGTA